CCAAGCAATTGCTTGGGAGCCAATCCAGGATTAATCAGGAGCTAATTAATGATTAATCGGCGCTAATTAACATTTAATCAGGTGCTAATTAGGGCTTCATTAGGCGATTAATTATGGGTGAGTTGGGGGTTGCCCGGGAGTCAATCAGGGATTAATCAGCGATTAATCAGCAGCTAATTAATGACCAATCAGTGCTAATTAGAACTTAATAGGCGTTAATTAGTGCTGCATTGGGGATTAATTAGGAGTGAATCAGAGGTGAACTGGGCACTACTGGGGACTCAATCCGGGATTAACCAGGAGCTAATTAATGACTAATTAGCGCTAATTAATATTTAATCGGGTGCTAATTCGGGCTTAATTAGGGTGCTAATTATGGGTGCGTTGGGGGTTGCTGGGGAGTCAATCAGGGATTAATCAGCGACTAATCAGCAGCTCATTAATGACTAATTAGCACTAATTAAAACATAATTAATGTTAATTAGGGCTTCACTGTGGGTTAATTATGGGTGAACTGGAGGTGAACTGGGCGCTACTGGGGAGTCAACCCGGGATTAATCAGGAGCCAATTAACGATTAATTAGCGCTAATTAACGCTTAATCAGGCATTAATTAGGCCTTCAATAATTAGGGGTGAATTAGAGGCGAACTGGGCCCGGCTTGTCAGCTCCACTTGGGGCTTCAACCAGGGATTAATCAGCATCCAAATGACCATTAATTAAGGCTAATTAAGGCTAATTAAGGCTAATTAACCCACCGCCTGCCCCCTCTTTTCTTCCTCTGCCCGTCCAGCGGCGCCGGCAGCGGCTTCACCTGCTTGACCGGGGGCGGCTCCTGCCACTTGTCGAACTTGCGCTCGATCTCCTCCTTCAGCTCGTAGCCCACCTGGAATTCCCGGGAAAATTTTGGGAATTTTGGGGCAAATCCAGGAATTTTGGGGGGTCCTGGATGGGATTTTGGGGGATTTTTTGGGGGAATTTTGGGGTTTCTGCCACTTGTCCAAGAACTTGCGCTCGATCTCCTCCTTCAGCTCACAACCAACTTGGAATTCCGGGAATTCCCGGGAAAATTTTGGGAATTTTGGGGCGAATCCAGGAATTATTGGGATCCTGGATGGGAATTAGGGGAATTTTGGGGGGAGTTTTAGGAATTTTGATGGAATTTTGACAGAATTTTGGTGGAATTTCTGGAATTTTGACAGAATTTTGACGGAATTTTCGGAATTTCGCAGGAATTTTGATGGAATTTCAGGGATTTTGATGGAATTTTAGCAATTTTGGTGGAATTTCAGGAATTTTAATGGAGTTTCAGCAATTTTGATGAAATTTCAGGAATTTTGACGGAATTTTGACGGAATTTCAGGAATTTTGATGAGATTTTGATGGAATTTCAGGGATCTTGACGGAGTTTCAGGAATTCTGCTGGAATTTTGCTGGAATTTTGGTGGAATTTCAGGAATTTTGCTGGAATTTTGCTGGAATTTCAGGAATTTCGCTGGAATTTCACTGAAATTTTGACGGAATTTTGGTGGAATTTGTGGAATTTTGCTGGAATTTTGCTGCAATTTCGATGGAATTTTGGTGGAATTTCAGGGATTTTGACAGAATTTCAGGAACTTCGCTGAAATTTCGACGGAATTTCTGGAATTCCAACGCTCTCCCTCAAACCCCGACCACCCCACCCACGCTCCAGAACCCAGAGAACATTTTGGGACCCCCCAGAAGAATTTTTGGGGAGGATTTCAGGGAATTTGTAGAACCTCTGCTCAACCTCCCACCCCACCCAGACACAAAAAAA